AAAAAAAATTTTTTTTTTTTTTTTTTTTTTTTTTTTTTTTTTTTTTCGTTAATGCCTGCAAAAATTTTTCAGTTTTATTTTTAATGCAAATATGTGTATGCATAAATATATGTATTTATACATAATTTCTTAGGTGAAAAAATAGTTTATCTAATTATCAATTTAAATATTTAATTACTCTATATAACAATTCTTTTTTTTTATTTTTAATTATTTCTTTAAAATTTAAAGAAAAATATATTTTAAATTCAAATAAATTCTGCAAAAAAAAAAAAAATATATAAATATATATATATTACACTAAGCATATATTAAAAAAAAAATAATATAATAAATACTTAAAAATATAAAAAAATATAACAAAATATATTTAGGAAATATGGATATACATAATGTATCATATTTTTTTTTGTGTATATTTTTTAGTCATTTTTAGTAAGTGCCAATCTTTCTACAAATGTTCCTACTTTTCGTGGACATGGTACAAAAAAATTATATATATATAAATATAATAAATATAATAAATATAAGAATTAAATAAAAACTTTGCAATTAATTTTTTATTAAATGCTTATTTTTCTTTTTCTATTATTTTACACATATATGTGTGTACTAAAGTAAACATTTTTATACATAATTCAAATATGGAAAATAGATTTAGTACATCTAATTATAGAAAAAAAAGATGTATTAATAAAATATATATATATATATATATCATAACATGCATAAACATAAATATAGAAAAAAAAAACGGAAAATGAAATATTTTTGACATATTCAAAAATGATAAAAAAAAAATTGACAAATTTTTTTATAAGGTTAACTTAATATGGAAATCTTATTGTATGTATATAAAAACGGCAAAAAAAAAAGAGAAATAAATGAAAATTTTCTTTATCAAATAAGCAATATTTTGCAAATAATTTATTATTATTTTATTGTATCATCTTTTTTCTTTCATATTTTCATGTATTCCTCATTTTTTTATAATATTCAATGTAACAATTTAGCTACGGAATCCAAAAAAAATACATAATTTATAAGTTAAAAAAACATATTATTAAATATAACAAGTAAAATTTAATTATATTTAAAAAAAAAAAAAATAATAATATATATAATATAAGATACATTAATTTAAAATAATGAGTGTAACAGTTTTGCAAAATTCGATTTTTCGATAATACAAAATACCAAAAAAAAGAGCAAAATAAAATCTAAGAATTATTCATATGCAAGCACAAAATATTTCTATTAAGAGAAATAAATAATATTGTGTATATGAATTAAAATACATGAATCAGTTAAATATCCATGATTATTGTATTTTTAGTAACATTGTAGAATATTCTTTAATGTTATATATTTTTAAGTGAAAACATAAATATTTATCAATACCTGAAGTCTTAAAAATAAACCTGTATGAGATTCGTATAAAAAAATTTTTAGAGAATCTAATATTTCAATGAAATAAACTTAAGTTCATTTATTTACATAACTTAAATGACAAATTCAAATTTTCTTAAAGTAAAATTATACTTTTTATTTTTTTTCTTAATAGGAATTTACACTTTTTCTGAATGTTCAGATTTTTGTTCAGAATTTATTCATAAATATATTGATAAAGCTAATACTTTATATGATATGTAAATATATTTACATAAAATTTTGTTAATATTCCTCAATCAAATTTCTCCAACATTAAAAACTTTATTTTTATCCACATGAAAAGCCAGCATATTTTTGAACTTAATAAATTTCCTTCATCATTTTAATAATATTTTATTTCATATAATTTTTTAAAACATGCAAATATAAATTATACATTATATATTATATATATATATATATATGCATATTTTTTTTTTTTTTTTGTTTTGTATTAAACTCTAAGTCCATCTATTCCACATTTCCATAAATTATTTTAATGAGTTTTCCATTTTCCAAATATTCAATATAAATATATTAATCTTTTTATGTCTTACAACTTTATTCTCCTTAATTTTATTTAAAATTTTAAGTTTGAAATTATCTTGTTCAAAATTTAATTTTAAACATATTTTGTTAAAATAAAATTTTTTTAATGTTATAAATTTATTTTATAAAATTTAAAAATTTAAAAAGTGTACAACTTATGTTCATTAACATTATTTTTTATATTTTTATATCTACGCTAATTCATAGATGAAAAGATAAATATAAATAAAATATTAACACAATGGTATATAGACTTTTTCACTCCTTTTAAAGATTATTGAAGAATATAAATTTCTTATTTGTAATTTATTTAGGTACTTCTCATATAATATACTTTAAATAAAAAATGATAATTCATGATTGAATATAAATAAAAAAAATTTTATTAATCATTTTCAACAAAAAATTTAGATAAAACCTTATTTATTTTATAAAGACAAATGATAAAATGTTCGAAAATAACATAAAATGATGCTTATTTCATATTCATGTAAATACATTTTAAGTTGTACATATAAAACTAAATAAAAGATTATTCTACTAAAGTGCAAATTTCTAGAAATACATAAATTTTTCAAAAAAAGCTTAAAATTTACAAGATAATACTATTAATGAAATAAAAACAAATAGCAATAATTATTTGCATTCTACCATTTTAAAATTTATGCTTATCATTTTATTAAAAAATTTAAAAAAAATATTTTGTATAAAATTATATTCGGTAAAAATTAAAATTTTTGAACTTCAAAAAAAAACAAAAAAAAAAAACCCTAAATAATTAATCTATTAGTAAAACAGAAGACTCCTTTGTATTGTAATTAATTTTTTTTATGAGCATCAATTAAAAAATGTATACCACCATTTGTTTATTAAAGAAGTCACAAGAAATATGTTGAATTTAAATTGGATTCTGTTTTTATGAACATTTTCTTTATATTATTTATATTAAAAAACACTAAATTATAGGGGTAATTTAAATTATATCAGGAGGTTTATGAACTAAGAGTTATTTTTTTACATGAAAGAAAGGATTTTAAGAATATAATTTTAAAAAAAATGGCAATGTATTTTTAAATAGGGTATAAACATTATAATAAAAAAACAAATAAAATATATAAAAGAGATATAAAAAATAAATTTAAAATATATTTAAAAAAAAAAAAAAAAAAAAAAAAAAAAAAAAAAAAAAAAAAAAAAAAAAAAAAAAA